TTGTGATTGCTGTTCCTTCCTTCCTTCCTCCCTCCCTCCCTCCCTCCCTCCCCCACTTATGAGTGAGGACATGCAGTATTTTTCTTTCTGTCTCTGGCTTATTTCACTTAACATAATTTTCTCCAAGCTCATCTATGTTGCTATGTTGCTGCAAATGGCAGAATTTCATTCTTTTTTATGGGTGGGTAGTATTTCATTGTGTATATATACCAAACTTTCATATCCAGTCATCCATTGATGGACATTTAGGTTGGTTCCATGTCTTGGCTATTGTAAATAGAGCTGTGATGAACATGGGAGTGCAGGTGTCCCTTTGACATGATGATTTCCATTCCTCTGGGTATATATAGCATATACCCAGTAATGGAATTGCTGGATCATATGGCAGCTCTACCTGTAGTTGTTTCAGAAATCTCCATACTGTTTTGCATAATGGCTGTACTATCTTACAGTCCCAGCAGCAGTGAAAGAGCGTTCTCCTTTCTCCACATCCTTGCCAGCATTTGTTATTCTCAGTCGTTTTAATACTGGACAGTTGAATTGGGGTGAGATGATATCTCAGTGTGGATTCGATTCACATTTCTCCAATGGTTAGTGATGTTGAACATTTTTTATGTACCTGTTGTCCATTTGTATATCTTCCTTTGAAAAGTGTCTATTTAGTTCCTTTGCCCGTTTTTTAATTGCATTATTTGATTTTTTTACTGTGAAGTTGTTTGAGTTCCTTATACATTCTGGATATTAATCCCTTGTTAGATGTGTGGTTTGTGAATATATTCTCCCTTTCTGTAGGTTGTCTTTCTGCTCTGCTGATTGTTTCCTTTGCTGTGCAGAACCTTTTTAGTTTGATATAATCTCATTCGTTTATTTTTTCTTTTGTTTTTTTTTTTTTTTGCTTTTGCAGTCTTAGTCATAAAGTCTTTGCCCAGTCCTACATCCTTAATTGTATCCCCTATGTTTTCTTCTAGGAATTTTATGGTTTCAAGTCTTATACTTAAGTCTTTAATCCATTTTGAGTTGATGTTGGTATATGGTGAAAGGTACAGATCTAGTTTCACTCTTCTGCATATAAATGTCCAGTTTTCCCAGCACCAATTATTGAAGAGGCAGTCTTTTCCCCAATGTATATTTTTGTTGCCTTAGTCAGAGATCAGTTGGCTATAAGAATGTGGGTTGATTTCTGGGTTTCCTATCTGTTCCATTGGTCTGAGTGTCTGTTTTTATGCCAGTACCATGCTGTTTTGGTTACAATAGCTTTGTAGTATAATTTTAAATAACATAGTGTTACGTCTCTGGCTTTATTTTTTTGCTTTGGAATGCTTTGGATATCTGGGATCTTTTGTTGTTCCATATTAATGTTAGGATTGTTTTTTCTATTTTGGTGAAGAATGTTGTTGGTATTTTGATGGGGATTGCATTGAGTCTGTAGATACTTTTGAGTACTATGGACATTTTCACAATGTTAATTCCTCCAATACAAGAGCAAGGAATGTTTTTCCACTTTTTTATATCCTTTTAAATTTCTTTCAGTAGTGTTTTGGAGTTCTCATTGTAGAGATCTTTCACCTCCTTGGTTAAATTTATTCCTAGGTATTTTATGTTTTTGGTGACTATTGTAAATGGGCTTGCTTTCTTTTCCTGCTATTTCGTTATTATAGTATTAAAATGCTGCTGATTTGGGGGTGTTGATATTGTATCCTGCAACATTACTGAAATTATTAATCAGCTGTAAGAGTTTTTTGGTAGAGTCTTTAGTTTTTTCTATATACAGGATCATGTCATCTGAAAACAGGGATGGTTTTACTTCATCCTCTCCAATCTGGATGCACTTTATTTCTATCTCTTGTCTGACTTCTCTGGCTATTATTTCCAGTACTATGTTAAATAGGAGTGGTAAGAGTGGGCATCCTTGTCTTGTTCCCATTCAGGATGATATTGGCAGTGGATTTGTCATATACGGCTTTTATTGTGTTGAGAGTCTTTCCTTCTATACTTAATTTGCTGATGGCCTTTATCATGAAGGGATGTCAAATTTTGTCAAATGGTTTTTCTGCATCTATTGAGATAATCGTAAGATTTTTGTCCTTGATTTTGTTGATGTGGTGTATCATATTTATTGATTTGCATATATTGAACTATCCTTGCATCCCTGGGAGGAATCCCACTTGATCATGGTGTATAATTTTTTTTGATGTGTTGCTGTATTCTGTTTGCTAATATTTTGTTGGGGATTTTTCTGTCTATGTTCATCAAGGATATTGGCCTGTAGTTTTCTTTTTTGGTTGTTTCTTTGTCTGGTTTTAGTATCAGTTTGATGCTGGCCTCATAGAATTTGATTGGAAAGGGGCCTCTGTTTCAATTTTTTGCAATATTTGAAGAAGATAATTGATATTAATTTCTCTCTAAAGGTTTGGTAAAATTCAGCATTACAACTATCTGGTACTGGGCTTTTCTTTTTTGGAAGATTGCTGATTACTGATTCAATCTGATTGCCTGTTATTGTTCTTTTCAGGTTTTCTATTTCTTCTTGGTTCAGTCTTGGTAGTTTGTATGTGTCCAGAAATTTAACCATTTCCTCCAGATTTTCATTTTTGTTGACATGTAGTTGCTT